GTCAACTCCTCTCAAGATCAAAAGTGTCCTTTTGTACTAAAAAATGAATGCTATCACGGGAACAATTGAAACAATGAGAGCAATTGATTGAGTTCCGAGCAAGTTCAGAGAAGACTAAAACATAATTCAATTACCTCAAGTATTGATTGGTCGACACAAAATGATTTGGCATACGTCCAGTTATCTGCGGCAATCCATGACAAATGCAGATGGTTGTCAGCAAACAAAGGGTCCGGAATTACTCCCGAACGATGTAAATCAGAATAGATATCACCGGGAACAAGACCTTAACAGGTTTTATAGTTACTGCTCAGAAAGCTTGGAAAATGGAGGAATAACGGGGCAAAAGTTAGAGAACCTATTGTAAGTTCTGAAATGAAAACCAACTGCTCCAAGAAAGGTTGTAATCCACCTACCTTGACCATGAACACTTTTGTTAGTTGAGTAATAAATCCATTGGCCTCCCAAGTCGATTACTTCAAACGTTGAAGTGCGGATCAATAGGCAAAATAGGAGCAGAGCAAGTATTTTCCGTATGGTCATTACAGCGATGATAATGAGAGCAAAACTGACCGCTTCGATAAGGCGAGACATTTGATAACAGTGGAGAGAGGAGACAAGCGATCAGAAAATCACTGGCACCGCTACAAAATTGCAAAGTTCAACCAAATGTGGTACTCTTTCGAAAAGGCGATATTGCGGGTCGAAGTGTAGTTGGGGGGGGGGGGGAGAGAGGGGTTGCATCGCGGCGTAACTAATCAAGGCATTCAGAACCAATGCCAAATATTTTGATTATCATACTCACTTAGTTCCCTCTTTCACCCTGCAAAAAAATCGGGTAACTATTGCCGAGAGAAACTACTGTGCCGCCGCAATGCAACCTCCCCCCCCCCTACTTCCACTACACTTAGGTCCAAATTATTATTTTGTGATGCAAAATGGAATGCGCTGTGTACAAACGAAGCAAAGGTCAAGCCAAAAAAGCCAAGCGACTGCCAAGGGTGAAGACGGTTTGTTCGTTCTTATTACTGCAATTCTTGACGACTGTCCATGAATGCCTATGAGATATGTTGGATGAGATTTGCTTTTTTTTAAGTTTAAGGGTCTCATTTGTTTGGTCGTTCTATAGACTGTATAAGAACGGGATGTGGCTCGCTTGAACAGAGAGCGACTTTTGAGCTTTTCATATCTGAAACTTATTTTGCTACGAGAACCCTAGGTCTGCTCCTTATCGGTGGTGGACCCGGGCTCCCACGGCGAAAAAGCTCCGCTTGCGAAAAGCGGAAAAGTCGCTTTCTGTTCCTAGCGAGCCACACCCCGTCCTTAAACAGTCTATTCAACGACCAAACAAATGACACTCTTATTAGAAACATTAGGCATACGTTTCTCATAGGCATTCATCGACAGTCATCACGTGATTTCCGTGAGTGCGTGACAATAACCTCAGCTTTTGCTTCTTGGGCAGTAAGTAGATGTCAGAAACGGCAGTTATGCAATGGCCGGACGCATAGTCGGTCGGACGACAGCAACGACTGCAAGTGTCGCACAGCATTGGGTGCGTATCGATCTGCGACACCTGCGACACTGACCGCTGCTGTCGGACGACAGCAACGACCGCAAGTGTCGCATAAACCGCGGTTGCAAATGGAAGGCGACGCGGTAAGTGTCGTAGATCAATACGCAGCTACTATTCCACACTACAGTGGGACTTTCGCGAAATACGATCACACGCAGTCACGTGTTTTCTGGGTTGCATTGGGTGACCGC